TAAAAAGTATTTGACAAATGAGCAGGTTTTTTTTTTTTTTTTTTGTCCAGGTAAGAAGGGAGAAAAGGATCTTTGTTTGTTTTCTGGATGTTGAGGCTGGAGTGTGACTCATTGGCTGGTGAAGTGTTTGGAAACCCGGCCTTTGGGTTACACAACTTGATATTATTCTGTCTGGACATGTAATAGGCAAATATCAAACCAGTGGCCTTCAGAATTTTTTTTTAATAATTCTCTTTCAGTTGTAGTTGGACACAATACGTTTGTTTATTTTTATGTGGTGCTGGGATTGAACCCAGGGCCTTTCTTATGCTAGGCGCGTGCTCTATCACTGATCCACTACCCTAGCCACACATAATTTTTTTTTTAAAGCTAGGAAATTATTTCATTAAAGAAAATCTTTTCCAGAAACCCAATTCGTTAAAACAAAAGAAAACTAGAGAAAGGAGCCACAAGGATGAGTGTCTCAGGTATCTTCACAAAAGTATTCTGGAGATCCCTAGAACCCTGATTTCAAAGAAGGTAAATAGGTCCTTAATTGAAAAAAGTATAAGAACTGCTGGTCTGCAGGTTTTGTAAGTTATATAACTAGTTACCTCATAACGTGGACTAGGTCGATTATTTTCATTGTGATGCAATAATTTTGTTAGTTCTGTAAGGCTATTTGGTATTGATAAAATGCTTGTTCGAAAGCAGTTTAACAAACTCCTGAATTGTTCCTAGAGCAATTAGGGAAATTTTAGGAGTTCCTAGGGGATTATGTTCATCAGTGATGTTTTAAAAATTGGTGTCAGTCTCAGGAGACCCCCAAGAGCTTCAGTGGCCACAGTGGTGCTGGTTTTTGGGAACATAGCAGATGGTCCTTGCAGACAAAACCAGTCTACAAAGACTGAAATGATCCCTATGTTTCACATGCATACAGATTAGTGTCTACTCATGAGGACTGAGAATAACGAGAAATGCCATGATATCACCGAGATATAAAAACAAGTGCTATTAAGTGGATAAAAAGAGATAGAGATGTATGTTTGAATTCTGAGGAATTCAAAATAACTCCTCTAGGGAAGCCCAGTGAACTTCAGAAGATGACAGAGATAGAATTCAAAGAAGAGAGTATAGTAATAAGTGACCAGAAATGGGAACTGTAACAGAGAGGTTGAAATAGTACAGACAAAATCAAAGAGAAATCCTGGAGCTGAAAAGTACAGTGACTGAAAGGACCAGTGCCATAGAGAGCACCATCAGCAGAGCTGATAAAGCTGAAGAAAGAATCTAGGAACTTGTATACTGTGAAAATATACAGTGGGAGGAGAGAGAAAGAAGAGCTATGAAGAATGCTTTCGGGTATTATGGGATAGCACCCAAAG